AGAACATTGCTAAAGCCACATAGTACGTGCTTCATGTGAGTTCTCAGCAGGTGTCTTGCCATTCGGAAGAGATAGCCCAAGCCATATGGGATAAAACCCATTGCAATTGGGTAAATCTTCTTTCAGTTAAATTTTCTAAAACGTTTTACGCATAAAATAACAATAAGAAATTATAACTTATGCACGTTTTAAAGGAACTCATGTAAATAACAAAATCTATTTACAAGGTTTTGGCCTCCGCAAACTAAATGCAGTTATGATAAATTATGAGTCTTTGCACATATTGATACACTTTATTAAACTTTATGTCACTATCTTGTAATATTACTTATTATGTGCTATGGTTGTTCTCATAATAAACTTGCTTATTTAGCAAATAACTTTCTTAATAAATAAACACATTTTATCCAGCTCAATAGACATTATTATAACCTGCTTGGTTATATATTATTACTTTTTGTTAACAGCATTTCTTTTTAACCATTTCAATTTCCAGAATTTAAAATGGTATTGTATAATCTTAAGTTTTTTTTTAGGATTTATTTTTCAACTAAGGAATTTTTATTTAACCCTTTTTGTTAAATAAAATATTCACGACAAGAAATGTCTTATTCAAAGAAGTGAAACTTATGGTAACAATGTGCAGTAAAAAGTACTGGATGCTTTAGTTCAATAAGTGTTGGAGTAAACCTGTGTATTTCAAAATGTGTAACATGCTTTTAAAGATGCACAACTCATGTGCTGTTTGAGTGTGTATAAATAACTGTATAGGAAAAATAAATTAAATCCTTAAATTTAGACAAATTAAGAAAAAAGAGAAATTTGTATGAAATGTGTAACTGCAAAAGCTGAACTCTTGTAAAAGGAATAAATATTATAGTTTAGATACAAAAAGGTTACTTAGTATTAATTTTAAGTTACCTTGAAACTGAAACATGAACTAGGTAATGTAAAACACACTAAAATGACATACTTGTTATTATGTAATCCACTTTCGTCCTTTTTAGGACGAAATTTTTTGTTATTTGAAGCCCCACCCTGGCTTTTGCCAGGGGCCGCAATATAGGCAGGCCATAAATATGGCCAAATGTCTGAACGCGGTTTCTGGGACCTCTCCACGGTGATCCTCATCCGCATGGTGGCACTTTGTGTCATCGGGTGTTTATCGCTTGTGTGATGTCCTGGTGGGGTAAAAAGCCAAGCCAAGCCAAGCCATACTTGTATAAAATATGATTATAACAAATTTATTAAAAAGGAATAAGCTACAGTTTTAAATGCTGGTATTATAATTATTATGATAATAAAGAAGAATTATTCTTGAAAAATAATGAAGACATACTATATAACCATAACTCAACACACACTTAAAATAGTTTTCAGATTGTAAAGTATACATTCAATCAGACTTTAAAAAAACCATAGGAAGAAATCACTCAAAGTGCCACCCAACAAGCTCCAAGTGACCAATCAAAGTGACAGAAACTATTATACATAGGACATGCAGCTGAACAGACAGACTTGATAATGACCCAGGACAAAAGCAACTGAGACAACAAAGCTGAATTTCTTTGAAGTCAGTTAGCATCTGCTTGAGAGGTAAGGAAACAACAGTCTGCATTCAAATAAGCCTGATCTATAAAATGGTTGTGCTTGTAGAATTCAGGTTCTGGAAAAAGAATCAAGCCCAGATGTGGATGAACAACCAGAACTTTCTGCTGGACACAACCAGTTAACATGAAGAAGAAGAATAAAGTTGAAAACTGTCAAGACCAGTTTTTCAGAACAGTCACAGATTATAGAAAACTGGCACTTCTTAATAACATTCTTGCTGAATAATAGAATTATAAACATACCAGAAAGCATCATTCTTCTTCTTCAACATTTGCCCTTACACATCTATTGGCACATTGTGTTGCGGTTTACAGCTAGACTGCAATATATTCTTCTTTCAGACATACTCATCTGATTTAAGCAAAATCACCTTTTACAACATGCTTCCATTTCAACCTAGCCTAAAATGGGAACCAGGTAAGGTCCTGGGAAGTAAAGGGGGCTAGAATGAGGTTGACCACATTACCCATTGAGTGTTGATTGGTCTATAATAATCTGGTGATCTTAGTTTCAGCTTCACAGCAAAAGGGTCACCTTTTAATTGCTCCGTTCGTGTGACAATGAAAAACACAGAATGTTTATCTCAGTCCCCCGTGGAAAGATTGACAGACTGATGTCTCAGCATATCTAGCATGCACATGCATTATAAGCATACGGTAGCCATTCGAAGTGCTAACACAAACAGTCCGACATTAGAAATTCAGTTCATTATGGATGGTAGCAGAAGTAACCAACAGATCAGCAGTTGGACACACGATCAATTTTAATGACATAATGGCACCACCAATATTGGGACAACAGGCATCGTGCCATTTTCTGAATCTACAATTCACAACACCACGTTGGTCACAGTTGAAAAACATTCCAAATGAAATCTGCAGCTCAGTGTCACACCATGCACTCAAAATATATCCTTTCAGTCTACAAATGGAGCAAAAATGCAACGGCCACCGTTTGGCAGAAACAAAATATTTGCTGCGGCTCGAAACAGTGGTCGTGCCCAGAGTCCATTTTGACCGGAAGTCGATCTACAATAAAACAGGTTTAGCACTTTATGCCATTTGGGACAAAGATAACAAAAAGATCCTTTATTTATTTATTTATTTATATTTACAACACTGTTGTTGGGGGCATGTGTCTATTCTTGATTCCCTCAAAATGTAAGCAGTATAATGATGACGCCATAGTTGAGTATAAACTAAATAAAATATAACGATGAAGACACAATTTTTGAGACATTGGGAGGTATTAAAGAACAAAATAATCAATTATAAGATAAAAAACTTACTAAATAAACATGAGATATTAGAACACACTAAGGAAGTAATAAGATGTAAGAGAAACACTAACTGAGAATCAGATATAAGAGAAACACTAATTGAGAATCAGATATAAGAGAAACACTAATGTAGAATCAAATATAAGAGAAACACTAATGTAGTATCAAATATAAGAGAAACACTAATTGAGAATCAGATATAAGAGAAACAATAATGTAGAATCAAATATAAGAGAAACACTAATGGAAAATCAGATATAAGAGAAACACTAATGGAAAATCAGATTTAAGAGAAACACTAATGGAAAATCAGAAATAAGAGAAACACTAATGGAAAATCAGATATAAGAGAAACACTAATGGAAAATCAGATTTAAGAGAAACACTAATGGAAAATCAGAAATAAGAGAAACACTAATGGAAAATCAGATATAAGAGAAACACTAATGGAAAATCAGATATAAGAGAAACACTAATGGAAAATCAGATATAAGATAAACACTAATGGAAAATCAGATATAAGAGAAACACTAATGGAAAATCAGATATAAGATAAACACTATTGGAAAATCAGATAAAAGAAAAACACTAATGGAAAATCAGATATAAGAGAAACACTAATGGAAAATCAGATATAAGAGAAACACTAATGAAAAATCAGATATTAAAGAAACATTATTGGAAAATCAGATATAAGAAAGTCACTAATGGACTTGAGGAGGTATTAAAGAACACACAAATGAAGCACCAGATATAATGCACACATCTTTATATCACAGTAATAAAATATAATCACTGATTATCTCCTACACATCTCTAATTCATCACATAGGATGTCCTTAGGAACTTTATCATCTTCCATCTTCTGGGTGTGTCTTAATATAACCTTGCCTCTGAGGTCAACATATATTCTGGGACGTAAAGACAGCTGTGCATCATTTATGCTGTTGTGCTGTTATTTGTAACAAAAATGGCTCGCAGTCTATTCCTTCATTACATTCTGTCCTGTGCATTCAATTATCGTAGATGTAATTCAGTCCTGCACCTTTGCCTTCTTTTGTCATTGTGCATTTTAGGGTCTCTTTTGGATATCCTCATGTCAGTCCTTTTATTTAACACTTAAGTGCCTGTTAGGTGATACTCTGCTCCTTTCTTCTCACGTTGTGTCCAATATAGCGGCATCTTCTATTTCTTACAGCTGTTGCTAGCAGACATATTTCTTATTTCATCGGCCTTCTTGAATTCCTTCCATATTATTTTAAACATTTCCTCAGATATTTGTTTTCATCTTTCATTCCATGTCTTAAGTGATTCTTCTCCAAGTTTCACTAGCATATGTTAAAATTAAAATAATAATAGAATTGAAAATATATACCTCGGTCTTAAAACTATACATGTAGCCCTACAGACAATACTCATAATGATTCTACAAGGAACTACTAATACTAGGTTCATCTTTGCTGAATAATAGAATTTTAAACATGCAAGAAAGTATCATTCGTCTTCTTCAGCATTTGCCATTACACACCAGTTGGCACATTGTGTTGTGTTTCAGACATACTCATGTGATTTAAGCAAAATCACCTTTTACAACATGCTTCCATATCAACCTAGCCTAAAATGGGAACTAGGTAATGTCCTGGGAAGTAAAGGAGGCTAGATTAGGGTTGACTACATCACCCATTACAGGCAATACTTATATTGATTCTACAATGAACTACAAGTACTAGGTTCAGGGGCCAATGTCTACAAATGGAAGCTTATAAACTGTGTCTGTAGCTTAGGAATTGTGCATGAAGTTTCAGAATCTCAACATACAAGGGTTTTTAGCCGGCAACAGCTGATTTGGTAGCACATTACTTAATGAAGATTTGGGCAATGGTATAAGTATCATACCAATGAGAGTGCAATGGCAAACTACCCAATGTAACAATTGCCTAATAAAACCCACACAGCCTGCAAATGCTAGGGTTGGCTTGGAACATCCTTGAAACTAATTTTGTCTTTTGTTGTTGTTGTTGTTGTTGCTGCTGCTGTGAAGAAAGAATATCCAGATTGTTAGCCAGACAAACAACTTAACAACATTCACACAAAAAACTTTTTCTTTTACCTTATCCGTTGATAACAATGGAAAATCTTCTGGTGGATTAGTGATGACGTAACGTTTGGAAGTTGGACTGCGTTCAGACTCATTGGTGTCTCTAAACCTGTACAGTCCGATGCATAGAATTCCATACTGGCGTAATGCATAAACAAATAGGTCTCCATAGTTGCCACCCTGTTAAAAATAAACAGATGCAAACAAATGAAGATAATTAGCAAATGACTAATGTTGTCAAAATGTGACTGTGACACTATCTAAATTATAACAGGGATGGCTAAACCTGGTATTATTTATGCACTAGAATAATCTCTGTAGCAACTAACATTTATGCCCTAGAACAATCTGCTGAGGTGTTATCTATGGGTTAGTTAAGACGGATGTGATGTTGATTATATAAAGTAGCCTCTTCAGCCCCAAGCAACATGTAATGTGTAACTGGCTGTATGTAATTTTATACTTTTTTGACAGGAAAAAGTAAGAAAATCTGGCTTCCTCAGTGGCCATTTCAACTTTAAATTTAACAGTCTCGTAAAGTAATGATGAACTTGTAAACATTCACAGTGTTTATACCTTCAAAATCCTGAGACTGAAACAACCAGAAATGTACAGGCAAAAAGTGTTCCAAATTTTACTATTTTTTGAGTGCTTTACTTACACCATACAGTGACAATGGTCCATCAAACAAGGAGAGCTGGGCAACCCTGCACCTGTCTCTGTTGGCTAAGACACTTGGAGAACAAAATCCACCTCTCATGCCAGCACCTTCAGCTAGGATCTGCTCCAGCTCAGGGGTCGCTCCACCAGTTATCAATGTTCTGATGAGGGTCAGAGCATTGTCGTTGAAGTAACTCTGAAACCACAGGAATGAAACTAGTCAGAAACCCTAAGTTAGTTGCATATCATTTACAGGAAGTTGCATAACCAACCCGAGCATTTTTACGTTAAGTAGATCGTCATTGTTTTTAAACGGTTGACACTCAATACCAGTGTTTCTAGAACTGGATGCTGCCGCACCTTGGAGTGCCTTGAGCATATGCCAGGGGTTCTGTGGCAATAATCAAGAATTTTTCAAAATCTGCTTGAGATCAGTGCAGACAGCAGTTTAAAGCAAAAATACCATGAAGGAAGCCAAGAAGAGTTCTGGATGCTTGAGCTCAGCAAAGACAACAATTTCAAGCAGAAATACCATGAAGGAAGCCAAGAAGAGTTCTGGATGCTTGAGATCAGTGAAGACAGCAGTTTAAAACAGAAATACCATGAGGGAAGCCAAGAAGAGTTCTGGATGCTTGAGATCAGTGAAGACAGCAGTTTAAAGCAGAAATACCATGAAGGAAGCCAAGAAGAGTTCTGGATGCTTGAGATCAGTGAAGACAGCAGTTTAAAACAGAAATACCATGAAGGAAGCCAAGAAGAGTTCTGGGTGCTTGAGATCAGTGAAGACAGCAGTTTAAAACAGAAATACCATGAAGGAAGCCAAGAAGAGTTCTGGATGCTTGAGATCAGTGAAGACAGCAGTTTAAAACAGAAATACCATGAGGGAAGCCAAGAAGAGTTCTGGATGCTTGAGATCAGTGAAGACAGCAGTTTAAAACAGAAATACCATGAAGGAAGCCAAGAAGAGTTCTGGATGCTTGAGCTCAGCAAAGACAACAATTTCAAGCAGAAATACCATGAAGGAAGCCAAGAAGAGTTCTGGATGCTTGAGATCAGTGAAGACAGCAGTTTAAAACAGAAATACCATGAAGGAAGCCAAGAAGAGTTCTGGATGCTTGAGATCAGTGAAGACAGCAGTATAAAACAGAAATACCATGAAGGAAGCCAAGAAGAGTTCTAGATGCAGGTTAATTAAGAAAACAATGCTTTGGCAAGGCTGCAGTGCATTCTCAACTTATGCTTACATTTTTTTTTAACGGATACAGGAGCAACCTTCAAGTGATTTGAAAGTACAATTAACTAAACTTGCAATAAACATAAAGAAAATAATGAAAAATTAATCTATAGTTTCATTCATCACATTAAAGACAACAAAACATTCAACTTGCACTGTTTTTTCTTATTTTCCTCAGAATTCAAACTGCTTTAAGGGTAGGTAAGCCGCACACAATTTTTGTGCCCGACAGGAGCCGCAGCAAAAAAAAGTTTAAGAACCACTGCTCTATACCATCGCTGAATCAATGCAGAGTTGTCTGCTGCCAAATCACCAGCAAATGGAATTGAACTGGGTTTGGAATTACAAAGTATGTTTGCAGTGCCTAAGCCACACACAATGAACAGAAGACACAAGGTGCAACTAAAGTAATCACCTAAGTAGACGTGACCACAATCACACTATTAATAAGAAGTAACCAACACAACACACAGTATGAATACAAAAAAAACAATGCAGGGCAGGAAACATGTGCACAAATACAACCAAATGGTTCTGTGTTGACTTTGATGATTGTTTATATCTATGTTCCTTTTGGGGTTTTTTGTTTGTTGTTTGTTCAAGACTGATGGTCAAAACCTTTGGCTATATTCATGTGCATCTTCTTCTTTCCCCTCATTTAGCTTCCTAGCCACAGTTTGTTCTGTGTTTTGTTATGCCTAGTTTAGAACACCTGTCAACATAAGACATGGAATGTAAAATAAACAAGCTAAGTTTTGTTTATGTTCTATGATAAAAGTTGTTGTAGACCCTATAAAGGACGTTGCAGAACAAACCCCAGCAATTTTTGGCTGTTGTATTTTTCTAGGCAAATTTTATGTTCAGTAGTTTGCTGTTGCCTCTGTACAGTCAGCTCTCAGTACCACCGTCAAAACTAATGCAAGACAAACCATCCTCAGCTGGGGTAGAACTCAGCACGTTCACAACGCCTAAGCCTAAAAATATATACTATAAAGTCAGCAGCAGGTGGGAAAAAAAAGCTAACTGTAAGCAAACAGTAACTGTAAAAAAAAAAAGATTATATTTAAAAAACTTTAATGGACAGAATTCAATATTTGTACAGATCAAGATCAAAATTAGACAACTAAAATATTCTGAGCACATCAAACTAAAGAGAAAGTGGAAGACAAACAAACATGTAAGAAGACAACACTTTACAAAGCAAGAGGCATTGAAAGAAGATGTTAAATAATGTCATTTCTGCAGATAGAATGTGGGGATGCATCACAACCGATTTGATTTGACTGCTTTAATTTAAAAACAATCATCATCATCATCATGTAGCAGGTCCTTTGCAGAACATTGCACTCATCACGGTCTGCATAAAAGAAACTTGTTCTCTCGCCAGTTCTCCCGCCTCATGTACTTTCATACTCAAGGAGTCACTTATATCCTGTGCCCAACTACGTGTTGGTTGTCCCCTGCCCCTCCTTTCTGGTATCACGCCTTCTGCTGTTATTTTTTCCTATCCGTCGTAGCGCTTGATATGACCAAAATATTTCAGCTTCCGAGACAGGATGCTGTTTATTAGCCAATCTTCCTTGATGTTCAGAGCTTTCAACATGTAAGTATTTCTTCTCTTCTTTGTCCAAGATATTCTGAGAATCTTTTTATAGAATTTCAGCTCAATAGCCCCTATTCTCTTTCAAAACTATACAGCCTCAAAGTTTTATATAAAACATGTAGTATCTGCTCCTGATCAAAATGATAAACTACGCAGCACTTTACCAACCAGATAGCCAATATCTATGAACACACAATGTTATATAAAACATGTAGTATCTGCTCCTGATCAAAATGATAAACTACGCAGCACTTTACCAACCAGATAGCCAATATCTATGAACACAAAATGTTGCTCACCGTACTCATTAAGGAATCCAGGACACTAACAGCAAATGCTGTCCCACATGCAAATGGCTGTGTCATGTACAGTTCAGTATCAGGGTCATCGTCATCATCTTGGTCCAAAAATTGAACATTTGAATCATTTGCTGTTGGAAAAAACAGACAAAGAAATATTGTCTTTACTCATTTACTTACTACTCTTGATCTCAGACTGTTTCTTTGGCATATTAGCAATTTAAGGTCAACCCAGCTCAAAATGGGTACCAGGTAATGTTTGGGAAGTAAATGTGGCCGCCATGATGTTGACCTCTGATTGTGGCATGATGTTGACCTCTAATTGTGGCATGATGTTGACCTCTGAGTGTGGCAGGATGTTGACATCTGAGTGTGGCATGATGTTAACCTCTGAGTGTGGCAGGATGTTGACCTCTGAGTGTGGCAGGATGTTGACCTCTGATTGTGGCATGATGTTGACCTCTGAGTGTGGCATGATGTTAACCTCTGAGTGTGGCAGAATGTTGACCTCTGAGTATGGCATGATGTTGACCTCTGAGTGTGGCATGATGTTGACCTCTGAGTGTGGCATGATGTTGACCTCTGAGTGTGGCATGATGTTGACCTCTGAGTGTGGCATGATGTTAACCTCTGAGTGTGGCAGGATGTTGACCTCTGAGTGTGGCATGATGTTGACCTCTGAGTGTGGCATAATGTTGACCTCTGAGTGTGGCATGATGTTAACCTCTGAGTGTGGCATGATGTTAACCTCTGAGTGTGGCATGATGTTAACCTCTGAGTGTGGCATGATGTTAACCTCTGAGTGTGGCATGATGTTAACCTCTGAGTGTGGCATGATGTTAACCTCTGAGTGTGGCATGATGTTAACCTCTGAGTGTCGACTGGTCTATTAAAACAAATGTGGATCAAGCATCATATACCCTATTGCCATTGGTGTAAAAATTGTCCTTTACCTTTTTATTTTGTTTTTAAATCTTAGAATGTTGAATTAAGAACTAACATAGCAGCACTCGGGACAGTCCCATAACTGATCTTTTCAGATCTTCAGCAGCAAGCAAAAAGTTCCAATTCCAAAGGCAGCAGTAACTGTCTCCCCTAGAGTGACGAGTGTCAGCTAGATCCCCTGGTAAAACCTCCCAGCACCATTCTCCTAAGACCGTAATGATCTATTTGTGCCTCTGCGCTGTTAATTCACTCACAACATCTAACATCAAACATCAATTTACCACCAAGTGGTGCAGAACTGGCCAGTCTATCTGCCTGCTCAGTTCCCAACACACCAGCACAACCTGGAGTAAATATCTAAAGGATGCTAACTGCCAGGAATCTCTGACGTGATGCTTGCCACTTTAACACGTCTCCACCTAACTAAAAATACTGTGTCAGTCGGTTACAATTATGACATGTGTGTACACATTATTCTAAAGCCAGCGAAAGGCAGCAGTGACTGCCTCCACCTCTATTCTCAAACTAGATGTTGTGATATCATATGCCAGGCTTTGCTGCACTAAGTAATGTCCATTCATTTTGCTATGAAACCCTATACATTTAATCTGCCTCTCAGCACACAGCCATCTCACAATTTTTTTTTTTTTTTTTGCAACTCAAGTGTGGAAAAAAAAGCATTTAAAAATCATTTTGTAGCATAATAAATAATTAAATTAGTTGCAAAAATATCAACTTTATGTTAGCTAAAGTCGGGGAAGATTCCTGTGTATGTCTCTCTCTTTTTCTCTCTCTCTCTCTCTCTCTCTCTCTCTCTCTCTCTCTCTCTCTCTCTCTCTCTCTCTCTCTCTCTCTCACACACACAAATATCCCACTGCCATACATTCAGTACATCAGTTTGGGTGTTACATTAAAAGGTGACTCAGAGTTAGTTTTTGTATAGCTACAGATATTTTTACATTTAAACAGCTTAGTGCCAGACATAGCCCTGAAAAGGAAATGTTATCAAGAAGTCAACTTACCCTTGAACCTCATAAACACTATGACCTAGTATGTGCAAAACCCTAACATTTCCCACACATACACATGCATACGCCCGTGTGCACAAACACACACGCCCTTCCTCAGCAGATCTGTCTTAGAATAACCTTTATATTTCAAATGCAATGCACATTACACTAGCTTTGAACAAACTGCATTTAAATACACATTTCAGAAACTTACCCAGTTCTGTAATGAGAGGAACACAATCAGTAACATGAGATCTTTTATTTTCAAGCAAGGGAGAAAATCCTAAGGGACTGAAGCCTGCACAACAATGAAAGGGAGACAAACTAATCAACTGAACAATTCAGTGACAAAACATTGCATGATTTTATACCAAAAATGGTTACATGCTTTAACTAGAACATGCTGAATAAAACAATGAACTCAAAATTCCCTGCATCTGACACATGACTGAGACTACAATTTGGAATCTGACTATTTTTTTTTTAACCCCCCTCTAGTCTGCTACCTGATTACTGACCACAATGACTGTGTCCAAATGTCAGACGCATGATGTTTCAAAGCCCCACCATGGTTGAAGCATAGTCCTAATATAACCCAACCTAGGGTTGAATGGGGTTTCTGAGACCTTTCCATGGGTGATCCTCATCTGCATGGTGGCACTTTGTGTCATCGAAAGTTTATCGCTTGATGGATATCCTGGTGGAGTTAAACCTCACTCACACTCACTGACTTTAAAACAACATAGGTGGCAAACTAACAGGCCAAAACCCAGGTGTCTCAGTTCAACCTCCATGATATGACTACTTAGAGTAACTTATTTTACTATAACATACTGCAGGTTTGATGAATGCAAGCAGCATGTAAATACATAATACTATTTACTGATGTGCAAGAAATATTTTTCTTTAAAGAATATGTTTTGGCAGCAAGAGCAGCTACAAGTATAAAAAAACTGTTCAGAAACATCAGGGCACAAAATGGCATGTCCATCAAGGATACTGATGACACCGCTTCAATAGCAACAAGTCACACAAAAAAGAACTGAGATATGAGAGAGACAGTGGTTGTAGAAGTGAAATAATGAGCCTCAGCCTGATGTCTGAGAGAGACAGTGGTTGTAGAAGTGAAATAATGGGCCTCAGCCTGATGTCTGAGAGAGACAGTGGTTGTAGAAGTGAAATAATGAGCCTCAGCCTGATGTCTGAGAGAGGCAGTTGTTGTAGAAGTGAAATAATGGGCCTCAGCCTGATGTATGAGAGAGACAGTGGTTGTAGAAGTGAAATAATGGGCCTCAGCCTGATGTCTGAGAGAGACAGTTGTTGTAGAAGTGAAATAATGAGCCTCAGCCTGATGTCTGAGAGAGACAGTGGTTGTAGAAGTGAAATAATGGGCCTCAGCCTGATGTCTGAGAGAGACAGTGGTTGTAGAAGTGAAATAATGGGCCTCAGCCTGATGTCTGAGAGAGACAGTGGTTGTAGAAGTGAAATAATGAGCCTCAGCCTGATGTCTGAGAGAGACAGTTGTTGTAGAAGTGAAATAATGGGCCTCAGCCTGATGTCTGAGAGAGTGGTTGTAGAAGTGAAATAATGAGCCTCAGCCTGATGTCTGAGAGAGACAGTGGTTGTAGAAGTGAAATAATGAGCCTCAGCCTGATGTCTGAGAGAGACAGTGGTTGTAGAAGTGAAATAATGGGCCTCAGCCTGATGTCTGAGAGAGACAGTGGTTGTAGAAGTGAAATAATGGGCCTCAGCCTGATGTCTGAGAGAGACAGTGGTTGTAGAAGTGAAATAATGAGCCTCAGCCTGATGTCTGAGAGAGACAGTGGTTGTAGAAGTGAAATAATGGGCCTCAGCCTGATGTATGAGAGAGACAGTGGTTGTAGAAGTGAAATAATGGGCCTCAGCCTGATGTCTGAGAGAGACAGTGGTTGTAGAAGTGAAATAATGGGCCTCAGCCTGATGTCTGAGAGAGACAGTGGTTGTAGAAGTGAAATAATGGGCCTCAGCCTGATGTATGAGAGAGTGGTTGTAGAAGTGAAATAATGAGCCTCAGCCTGATGTCTGAGAGAGACAGTGGTTGTAGAAGTGAAATAATGAGCCTCAGCCTGATGTCTGAGAGAGACAGTGGTTGTAGAAGTGAAATAATGGGCCTCAGCCTGATGTCTGAGAGAGACAGTGGTTGTAGAAGTGAAATAATGGGCCTCAGCCTGATGTCTGAGAGAGACAGTGGTTGTAGAAGTGAAATAATGAGCCTCAGCCTGATGTCTGAGAGAGACAGTGGTTGTAGAAGTGAAATAATGGGCCTCAGCCTGATGTATGAGAGAGACAGTGGTTGTAGAAGTGAAATAATGGGCCTCAGCCTGATGTCTGAGAGAGTGGTTGTAGAAGTGAAATAATGAGCCTCAGCCTGATGTATGAGAGAGACAGTGGTTGTAGAAGTGAAATAATGGGCCTCAGCCTGATGTCTGAGAGAGTGGTTGTAGAAGTGAAATAATGAGCCTCAGCCTGATGTCTGAGAGAGACAGTGGTTGTAGAAGTGAAATAATGAGCCTCAGCCTGATGTATGAGAGAGACAGTGGTTGTAGAAGTGAAATAATGGGCCTCAGCCTGATGTCTGAGAGAGACAGTGGTTGTAGAAGTGAAATAATGGGCCTCAGCCTGAAGAATCGGAAAACAGAAGTAATGGTAATTTTAAAAAAAATGTATTGTGTATAATTAAAGTCAATGTCATTCATTTGGGGCAAGTCTAGAGGTTTAAATATTCAGGCACATAGTTAGCATAAGACTGAAGATGTATCACAGAGATCAAGATCAGAAAAGAATGGGTGGGGGGGGGGGGGGGGGGGGGGGGGGGGGGGATTTCATTTAATCAAGAACATCTTAACAGATAAATCTCAGCCATTGGAAGTTAGAAAATGAATTCTAGCCTGCTTTATAAAACCAGTTTTAACATAAAACTGTAAATCCTAGACAGTTAGTGAACAAGCAAAACATTAAAACATTCTTTGAGACCTAGAGAATGTGGTTTTACAGAAGGATACTTCAAATTTCTTGTTCCGACAAAAAAAGTAATCCAGTGTTTTTTTATTTTTTAAATTTTTCTTTTAAAAACTGACACTCAAAAACAAACTTTCACAAATATCTAAATGAAACAGTCATCATTTCTTGACCACAGTGTAAGAACAGAGCAAGTGGCACACGTTGTTCGTGACGGTTGGAAAGATTTGTGGAAAGATAGAGGAAGGCAGTGAAAATTATTGACAGCTTTTTTCCTACCTTGGAAAAGTTATCAGTACATAAATTGTTAAATGCTGTTGGAGATTGACAGATGTATAGAAGCAAATAGTTCATCACAGTTTCATATTCATAGCAAACAGGTCCCCTTATAGTTTCCCCATTTTTTTTTGCCAGCAAAAGCCACAAAGAATGACTATCGCTGCATCTTGTGAAAAAAAACTGAAACAGAATTCATTCTTGACAACAAAAAATAACTACACAAGAACAGAGAAGCAAGACAGTCTAGTGAGTAAAGCACATAATGATGGAAGTCTGCCATGAAATGAATGGTGATGCAACAATAGTTGCAGTTTATAGGATCATTAAACTCAGAAAAAAGGAAAATGATTTATTACTCTTTTTTGATGACTGTAAAAGTCCTGTTGTGTCATCAAACGTCATTGCTTTGATGTTGAGAGAACAAAGAATAGCTTCCTTGTCTACCAAATTTGGATCCTCCAGGTTTCGATCTTTGGCAGAAATGATGATGCACATATCACACAGATTGATATTCACTGCTCTCAAGTTGGCACGGTTTAATGGTGAACCCTGAAACAGAAGAGTGGGAGTTGTTAATGGTGAACCCTGAAACAGAAGAGTGGGAGTGTTTAATGGTGTACCCTGAAACAGAAGAGTGGGAGTGTTTAATGGTGAACCCTGAAACAGAAGAGTGGAATGTTTAATGGTGAACCCTGAAACAGAAGAGTGGGAGTTGTTAATGGTGAACCCTGAAACAGAAGAGTGGGAGTGTTTAATGGTGAACCCTGAAACAGAAAAGTGAGAGTGCTTAATGGTGAACCCTGAAACAGAAGAGTGCAAGTGTTTTGTAAACAAATTATCAAAAACTCATTCAAATGCTAATTTATATTTTTTAGAATGTAATTTTTTTCTTCACATGACTGTCAATAAATTACTTCTCATGTTCGCTTTGGAGTTTCGGGGCCATATTGGTGGCCTGTGTGGGGAAGAATAGTCTAACTGCCTCCTAACAAGTATGTCAAAATAAAAAGCAAGTAATTAGAGTTGTTTCTTTTGAAGTCAGAACGCATCTGCTTGAGCGGTGAGGAACCAACAGTCAGCACACAAATAATCAGATCTGTAAAACGGATGTGGATGCTGAACTCATGTTCAGGAACAAGACCAAAATCCAGAAGTGGACAAACAGCCAGAACTTCCCGCCAGAGTTTAAAGCCAGCCAACTGAAAGAAGGAGAATTACTAATGTACTCTCATCTGTACTACATACACAGTGGTACCTTGGTTGAGTCTCGAACGCCTCTAGCCATGAGCAAATTGACCCATGTGCACCATTTCTGAACAAATTTGTACTCAACCCGTGAACAATGTCTTGGTGCATGATTGCATAAACATGGTTATGGCTCCATGTTTTTGACTTGCAAAAGCATAAGTTGTACTCAGGTTTGCATGCTGTGAACAATTTTTATTGTTACATTGTTCTTTATACAATTTTCCCCCATTAAATTAACCCTCATTAAGGCTCCCAAGAAAGTGAAACATGTTAGTGAAGGTAGTGTAAAGAAGCCTAAGGGTTACAGTAGAAACGAAGTAGGAAATAATAACTAAACACAACAATGGTGTTCGTGTTTTTGAACTCACCAAGAAGTACGACATGGCTAAATCTATGATCTGTACTATCTAAAAGAACAAAGATGTGCTAAAGATGGCTGATGTGGCTAAAGAAGTGACTACGTTAATGAAGCAAAGGTCTCAAGTGTTAGAAAAAGTATAATTTTTTTTATTTATAAAAAGCAGCTTCCTGAAGATAGTGTTAGCGAGGCCCTAATATGTGCAAAGGCTTTACTTTTGCACAGTGATTTAGTGGCAAAAATGCTGAATACATGTGATGGTAGCATTGACGAATCTAAAGAAAGTAGAAGCTGGTTTGAGAAATGTCCACCACAGACTGGAATTCTAAGTATTGTTTGTCACAGAGGGGCAGCTAGTTTGGATTTTTTTTTAAAACAGGAGCAGATGCCTGTGTGGTGGAATTTGTCATCCCAAAAAAATATGTTCCTGGGCAGGCAAATGAATCAATTGGACTTGCATTTATTTCAGTGAGAAAGTTTTTTTGGTTTGCAACTGGAGACAATAAATAAATTACAGTTATGACCAGAGATACCACAATATTTGATACAATATTTTGGTAAAATTGACTTTTATCATATATTTTAGTACCAACAAGTAATACGCATTCAAGTTTCAGCTGAAAAAATGTAAGTAAAACTTTTTGCACATTATATGCAAGATATTTTATAACTATAAAATATTAAAGCTACATTTTTAAAATTATAGAAATATTATCTGATTTTGCTAATAATTCAAGAGATAAATTATTTTGAAATTAAACTTTACCGGCAAAATAGACAACTTTGGAAAATTTTGCAAAGTTTTCCATTCTCTATGGAGATATTCCATATTTCCAACAATGACAACATGTTTCAGCTCATGAAAATGGAAGTTACTGGATCTCAATGGCATCACCAAATTTCTTAGTCCAATCAGCGGAGACGTAGCATCAGCAAACAAACATGCAACAACATGGTTGCGCAGGCCACTGGCTGTTGCCTGATTTCGATCCTGTTTATATAAATTAATATAAATAGTTGTTAACAATCTGTCTCAACAAAAATTGCTTACACAAATAGTCACATTAATGCTAATTTTGAAAGCAGTAATACAGATGCTGCCTCCTCTAATGTCTTTGCCTCCATAAGGGAGCAAGAATCTTTCCCTTCTCCTTCTTCTCTAGTCCGGCTCTGCCTTTCAGCATCAGGTTTTGAAGAGGCATGGGATTGAGCCTTGGTGTGTAATGATGTAGATGGTGTAGATACTGGTAGTCATGGCTTCAGATATTCCATCTATCCACTGCTTGTGTGGTCAACCTCTAACTCTGATTCTAGTGTCTAACAGGGCTCTATGTGGTGCACTGTCTGGTGGTAATCTTAACAAATATCCGAACCATTTGATCTGTTGTCAGTTGATGGAAGTTATGAGAAAGCTGGAACAAGACCGTGTATGCATTTAATCTGTTGTCAGTTGATGGAAGTTATGAGAAAGCTGGAATAAGACCGTGTCTGCATTTAATCTGTTGTCAGTTGATGGAAGTTATGAGAAAGCTGGAATAAGACCGTGTCTGCATTTAATCTGTTGTCAGTTGATGGAAGTTATGAGAAAGCTGGAATAAGACCGTGTCTGCATTTAATCTGTTGTCAGTTGATGGAAGTTATGAGAAAGCTAGAACAAGACCGTGTCTGTATTTTATCTGTTGTCAGTTGATGGAAGTTATGAGAAAGCTGGAACAAAACCGTGTCTGCATTTAATCTGTTGTCAGTTGATGGAAGTTATGAGAAAGCTGGAACAAAACCGTGTCTGTATTTTACTTAAAAAGAATTAAATGGTTTAGCCATCTAGTAAGAATGCAGCCAGACCAAATTGCATGTGAGATTTTGTTACAGCAGAACATCTGGGAGGACGGCGAGGGGAAGATGAAAAAAGAAATGGATAAGTTGTATAGCTGCTTCTTCTTCTTCACTTTAACCTTGTACCTCATCCAAGTGTCGGGGGGAGCTGTAATGTTTGTTGATGAGCTCTGTCAAGAGCACTATTAAGACTGATGTTAATTTCTGGAAGGCTGTTCTTAATGCCATCACTCCATATTTTCTGAGGTCTTTCACTCGCTCTATACCCGTTGTAATGTTTTAGTGTGGCTCGCTGTGGCAGATAGTACCAGGGCATTCTTGTTAGATGTCCAAACCACTTCATTTGTTGTAAAATAGATGAACAAATCCAACACCCAAGCCACCCGAAAAGCACTGGACAAATTTAAAATACCATGACACTGGGTTACATCCTGGTACCAGTGAGACTACAAAACAATGACACTGGGCTGCAACCTGACTTGGCTACAACCTGGTAAAAGTAAGATGATAAAAGAAGAAAGAAGAGTAGTTTATTGCTGGTTCCATCCTGTTTCCTGATATTGTCCTTTCTGATCTGTCTCTTCTAGTTATTTTAGTTTTCACCGTAGACATTTAATTTCTATTGTTTCAATTTTTCTTTTTCCTTTTGTTGTTAATGTCCACATTTGGCAAAGGTAATACAATTATGTTAAAAATGCTGTTTTGTATATTGCTGATCTGGTGCCAACTGTTGCATTTAGTCTGAAATACTCGTGACACCTGTTCAATGATTTGATTGGCTTTATTACATCTGTGTTATGAGTTATGAGTTATCTTGATGACACATCCATAGTTGCTCAGATTCCCCCTTCAACATATACATCAGCTTCCCATGGTTGATGGTCCCAGTCCTATGTTGGTTAACAAGACTTCTTGTGCATCCTGTGTGCTTCTCGTGCCTGGATGTGCCAATCTTTACTCCCAAATCTTGCACTCATAGCAAACATGTGGATGTGATGCTCCCAAAATCCTCCAAACGTCCTACCTCTCTAATGGCATTAACAATGTCGGCATGATCCATGGGCCTGCCCTCTGGAACTAAAGCAGAACCGGCTAATCTGTCAACTCTTTCATTGCCAACAACACCTGCATGCTATGGGACTAAGATAAAGGTAACACTACGCACAGTGGAGTTTTGCAAGGACTCGATCCGCTGTCTGCGTACAAAATCCGCTTTTATTACATCTGTGTTCTATCCCTGCTTCCATTCGAGAAAAGAGTCTATACCTGAGGGCTGTAATGGGAGCAAAAGGACCTATTATTTCATTATGATGATTTATTCTCATATAAGTTTTGCACTGTAATGGTTGATTCTAAAGTCACGTTTTAACTGTATTACTAAATTGTAATACTATATAAATAAGCCAAGAAGTAGACACATCCAGGCCTGGGCGTGCTGACCTAATTACCTGTCCATAACTGGTTTTCAAAGTTTCATCTGGGATAAAAATAAAATAAGATCTGTCCTACCAAGAATGTTATCAAAATTATAAACATAGACATCAGCTTCATTAAATAACATAAAAGATCAGAAAACATGCATGTGAGAACATGCCAAATGCTCCATTATGTGTGTCACTGAAAACTACCATGCTATTTGCACACATATGCACATATCCAAACATAACCATATCAGTCTTAACATAATTAAAAAGCTTTCTTGAGAAAAGAAATAAGGTGTTGCTAACCAAAATAGTTTCAGTAAGTGGTCTGTCTGGACACCAGTGAAACATGCCAGTAGAATCAAATGTGTGAGAATCTTCAGCCACCGAGATATCCTCTAACTGTATACTGGGTTTGGCCTGTGCTGCCTGCCTGCAGAAATCAAAGGTGACAGCATACTCCCAGAGTTTAGATCATGCAATGGAAAAACATTACAGGAAAATAAATGAGCTAATGAAAACTAAAACTGAATAAAATATTAACAGAAATTGTTTTTATATCCATTTTTTAAAACTAATTCGGAACAATGTCTGTGGCAGTGAATATTTTTATAAATAGTAACTGAAAATGCTCTCAAACAGAATTCATTCGTGCAGCTAAATAGTTGTTTTACACTAATAGAAGGTTTGAAGATTTAAACTCCAAACCTTATCAGTTTTTTTTTTCTATTTATTGTTGACTTTGTACTACTACTACTACTACAGTATCTAGTGCATTTGCCTGCCAGCTTAGTGGTCACACTGTTGAATCCTCAACATGACAAGAATATGTGTACAAATTAAACCAGCCTTCCAGGATCATCTTCATACACAAAATCCTATTGGCTATTACTATGAAGTAATATATTATTATTGTAAAAGTAAAAAGGATTCTACCTTAAAACTATGAACATGAAAAAGGCACACAATGGAAAGGAATGTCAGAATAACATTGCCAAATGAAACAAAAATGAAATAGCTTGTGTGTCAATGGAAACTTAATGAGTATCAGCAAAACTATTGAGATGGTTTTTGTATTAGCGAAGCAATGAATATGAATTTTCTGTGAATAATAACAATAGACAGATTGTTTTTCAACCAAAACCAAAAAAAAAAAAAAAAAAACTGATTACGTCAATACTTCTCTTCAGATTACGTAAAACATTCAAAAAAGATTTCAGTCTCTAATTCTTAGTCACAAATACAACCAATTAAAATGTTCCAGTTGAAACACAATTTCAACTGTTTAGTGATCATCAATAGTGAGATATATGATGTTCATGGAGTAAATAAAAGGGCTTCATAATATTCCATCAGGTCAGATTTAAAAAAAAAAAACATTTAGAAACAAAGATATGTTAACAAAAGTTTGGAGTGGCTGCCAATTACAAGAAATAAAATATGGAACATAGCCAGTTACATCCATATTTGAGAAAAGAACATGAAAAATAAAAGAGCATTCAAAAGCCCCTTAACAATTAAATTGATACAAGCAGACTAAATATTGTTGGTTAATTTTTGTAAGCAAATGAAAATGTCTTCAATATGGTAATATGGGTTTCAGTTAGTCAGCTTATTTGTGGTGTTTTGATAAGCCATATATGGTTTAGTATGCACATGAAACACAGGTACTAAATACTGTAAAATTAATAAAGATGCACACACACACAAAAAGACAGATGAGATGCTGCAAATTTATCCTAAAGATAAATTGCAGTAAAAATATTCAAATTTTAGTGAATAGAATACAAGACAATATGTGGGGTAGTACAAAGAATTTATAATTGTAAACACATACAAATTCCAATGAAATGGTAGTCATGTGACAATATTAAATAAAGTTAGGCTCTCCTTGCAGATCCGGACGACGATTGGACGCGGGCTGGACGACTTAGTTCAGTTTAGTGAGAGTTCTCTCCCTTGGCCGCACTCGAAACAAGTAGTGGAAAAAGTCACGAATCAAACAAGACAGTGAGGTCGACATCAGGGCTGCCAATGCTTGGGTGTGTCCCCCAGATCTGGGTTTTTTTGTGACACTGCGGGGATATCTGGTTTTTTTCTGTTTTTTTGTTTTGCCGATCTGTATGCTTTAATGACTGATAAATTTGCGTGGTTAAGGGTAGGGGTAGGGGTAGGATTAGGGTTAGGGGTTAGGGTTAGGATTAGGGGTAGCGTTAGGGTTGCCGTAAGGGTTAGGGGTAGGGTTAGGGGTAGGGTTAGGTTTAGAATTAGATGTGACAATTTTGACGCCGTAGTTCCCTATAATCGCGCACAGTCACACACACACTCAAACAGTCGACGGACGGTGGATGCTACTGACACGGACAAATCGCCACCGATTGGGCACCAGCCGCCCGCTATTGGCGTTATATTTGGCAGAATTTCAGTGGCGCCACTCCCACAAGCATTAGATTGTCGGCCACTATTTCGATCTCCTACGTGAAAATTTTCACATCTAACCCTAACCCCTAACCCTACCCCTAACCCCACCCCTAACCCTACCCCTAACCCCTAAGCCTACCCCTAACCCTAACCCTACCCCTAACCCTAACCCTAATCCTAACCCATAACCCTAACCCTAACGTTACCCCTAACCAAAACCCCTAACCCAAACCCTACACAGCCCTACACGCAACAGTATGATGACACCGCAACCCTTCAGGCAACCGTATGACAACTACGCAACCCTACACGCAACCGTATGATGATAGGTAAGTATGTCATTTGTTTCGTGGACTTTTCCGCTCACTGTTTCGAGTGCGGCCAAGGGAGAGAACTCTCACTAAACTGAACTAAGTCGTCCAGCCCGCGTCCAACCTCGTCCGGATCTGCAAGGGGAGCCTAAAGTTATACTAGCTCAAAATGATATTTGTCTGGCAACATAAAACTGAGGCATATGAATGAAAGAATGACTAGTCTGAGAAATGAAACAGAAGAAGAGGGAGATACACAAAAGGGAGTGAGTGAGAGATTCAGTGAAAAAATGAAGCTAATTTCAAAATATATGCTGCACAAGCAATATGGGATAGGAGAAACAGGATTTGTCTGTAAAGAATGCTGCTCCAAATGGAATATTTTTCTCATTTAGAAACACATTTTCATTATCTCAGCTGTATATTATAAAGTATTGTACTTCTGAAAAACCAAAAAAAGGTGCTTGTGGGTCTGAAGGTCATTGGTTCAGGCCCTAAGGGAGCTGGACATTATTTTTTTTTATGACCTTGGCTCCCAAGTTGACCCAGCCTTAAATAGGTCTCAGGTTGTCACGAGAAGTAAAGGTGGACAGCTCGATGCTGACCACATCACCCACCAAGAGCCAGCTGGTCTATAAAATATAGGTCTAGCCCTATATGCCCAATACATCTGAAGGCATAGAATAGGGTCTTTAATTCTGAAAAGAAATGGTTAATTTTTTTAAAAATCAACTATCCAACATTATACTGACTGGAACAATTTTAGACAAAAGTAAAAGGGGAAGACCATATTATTCAGAAACATCTTGCAGTAACAGAAATGCTGGTACAAAACAGACCCGACACACAGAAAACAGCATGGAGACTTTCTAGTTTATCGAAAAAAAAAAAAAAGAATAAAATATTAGAATTTATTTTTGATGGCCTAAATGTAAAGTTGAAGACCCCTCTATAATTCAGACCAGAAGCATATGTTGACATTTGTAGTTTTAATATTTTTTTTTCTTCAGATGTGACATGTTTAAGCTCTAATAACAAATATAAAATCGAACTGGCAAAATGCAACTGATAAAATATGCGATGTTATGATAATACAATATGTCCTGCTGAAAAGCTTGAAATTTTTTTATTATTATTATTAATAAGCACACATTAAAATATTGTTTATTTGTAACAAAGGATGATTTATTGATTTTTCTCATTTTAAATGACAAGAAAAATTCCCTAATAAACTATGTTTAATTTTTTTTCATATTATTTAATGACACTACTAGCTTTTCTCAAAATATTTTCTGAACTTCAAAATAACTGTTTTTATCAATTATGCAGCCGTGCTAATTATCTCCCAAATAAGCATTCACAGTACATTCATTATGTTCTTGCTGTAAAAAAAAATGCACATGTGCAGTCACAGAATGTAGTAAATTGTAAACAGTCTGTGTTTCTATAGTACTTATTAAAATGTGTGCATAACACTGTTCTTTGAAACCATGTGCAATAGTAAGTGTTGTGACTTGTGCTTTCAAGAAAACTAGGCAATAAATTATGTGATGCAACAAAAACAAATATATGTAATAAAAATTATACAGTAATAATGTAAAGAAGAAACTTTACAAGAAATATTAAAATTGTGCAAAGAACTGTGAAAATTGTTTCAATTAATATACATAATTGTTTACATGCTTTACTTCCAGTTTAAATGCTAAATAAAATATTGATAAATACTGTTAAAGACAAAATAAAATTAGTTGCGTATCCTTTACAGGACATTGCAGAACCAACATTAGCATATTCTGGCTGTTGTGGTTTTTCCAGGCAAATGTCCCATTCAGTAGTCTGCCAGTTAAAGACATAGACACTATTTAATTTAAATTTGAGCTATATGAAATCATGGAAATAATAAATTAGCATTTGGGGCCACTATTTCCATAAGTGTGCAATGTAAAACCAGATTTTTAGGCGTGTGATTTTATCAAACTATTTATTATTATAATTTTTTTTTTTTTATTATTTATCATGTGTGTGAAATATTCTTTATATCATTATGTATAACATCAACATTTCCACAAAAGAAAAATATAATAAAAGTAAGCCTTGAATTTTTAAGATGAGACTTGTAAAGGGAAAACTATTTTTGTAAGAAGTGAGAGAAACCCTTATGTCTCTTAGTTCTTTCTGCTCTTAGCAGAGCATGATGTATTATCAACTCTTCCTCTGTAATCCCATCATCACGTAATATTTTCTCCTCCTTTTTATGTTTAGTTACAGCATCCGAAAGAAATCTGCCATTCCCATATATAATTTCCAATGTATATTTAACTTCTTTAAAAGTAGTGCACGCATGATTTTTCATGATTTTTGTTTTCCTCCTTTAGTTTTAAAAAAAAGGTAAAGATCCCTTTTTACACCTTAGGTGCATCGGGCATATGGGAAGAGCATCCCATTTTTTTTACAGACTAACTGGCTCTCCTTTAGTTAGCTGCTGCAAAACCTACTGACACTGATGAGGTTACAATTTAACTTGATTGGTACCTTAACATGTAGCATTCTTGTATGAAACATGATTTCACATTTTTTTTTAAATAAGTACTTTTGGGGTGGTGGTGGTAGTGTGTGGGGATGAGGATGGGGGCGAGGACATTTTCCTCCATTATTGCAGCCTGTAAGACTGACACTGTATGACACTAAGAACCACTTTATG